ATTTTAGGGTTTTTAAAATTTTAAAATTTCGTATTTTTTAATTTAAAAATCAAAAACCAAAAATTTTAAAAAAAGCTCTCGTCAGGGACTCCAAAATTCGATTCTGAACAACTTTTGCACTCAGAATTTTGCTTCGAAATGCTTGCTTCGAGCGAAACTAGCCGTAAGGCGAGATGAAAAATACTTTTAGCTCCGAAGTTTCCTCAGGAAGGCGAACGCTAAATTTCTGCGGCTAACTTCATTCGGAAACGATGAAAAGGGTTTCTCCGTATACAAATTAGTGTTCTCTATCAAACTACGCTAGAATCAACTCTTCATATCAAAAAATGAAGTTTTTATTGAAGTTTTAAAAATAGGGCAAAAAACTCGAAAAAAAAATGTTTTTTTCAAAAACTATAAATCCGGGAACCGAAAGCTTTGGTGGGACATATACTCCGAAGTGTCCTCTACAAACTGCTAGAAAAAAACAGATGGGGGGGGGACCCCCCTTAAGTTCGTATCGTACCTTTTTTTTCAGAGAATTGTGAAGTACACGGCAATAAAACATTTTTCGACTATTTATGTGAGTTTATTTTCTTACACAATGTATTTCACTCTCTCTGTATAATTTGAAATTTTACGATGCTCAGGGTCTAACTGGTCAAGCTGCCATCCTTATTATATTTTGCTACTACAGAACATACCAGCAGGTACCTATTATTCTAGGTATGTTCTGGCTTTGGTTACAAACAATGTCTATTACCAAAGATCCTCAAGAAACTTTATCTTGTGGTGGATATTATGCACTTGTTGTCGGTTCTTCAGCTGCCTCCAATTTACTCTTGTCTCAAGCTGCTATTTACCATTCGCTCATGATTATATTACCGCATAAATTTCGTTTCGTTGTAACTCAAAAGAAGGTCCTATTTACCATATTTTTAACTGTTCTATTCGTTTCCTTACTAATGATTCATTTTCATTTTTCGTTTTATTATCATGAAAAATGTCAATATTATCCATCTGTTCGTATTTGGATTGTACATATTTGGCCTGTAATTCATTCCGTACTGTTTGTATTTACTCCAGCATTGATTACGTGTGTGTGCTGTTCGATCATCCTATGGAATCGATGTCAGTATAGAAAAAAACAAAAAGAAAGTATTACTGCAGCCCGAATGCAAACATTATCGATGTTATTAGTTGTATTTTCATTTTATTATACGTTAACAATATTACCTATTACCATTTCACAATTTTTTAGTAAGTATTTTTTATACGCTCCGAATATGGACTGTGAACATCACGGAAAATGGAAAATGTTATTTCGACTTTCGATTACATTAATGACTATTAATTATTCGAATAAATTCTACATTATTCTTATTATATCAACAGCGTTTCGTTATGAGTTTTGGAATTTAATAACATTAAAATGTTGTCGCCTTGAAATGAAATCGCCAGCAATAGAACAACATCGACTATTATCCATAAACAGAAAAACTGGATACAAATCCACCTTAAACAACTCTTAAGTTATGCATACATCATGAATTGTAACTAGGTCGAATACATATTTAAAATCGTTAAATAATATACAATTACTCTTTCTCAACGCCAGTAGATGTTTTTGAAATGGGAAATCTAGCATTTTTTAAGAAATGTTCACCATAGATGAGTACAATATTTACTTCTGATGGGTCCTACACCGTAAAAAATATGTGTAGCTGAAAAGAACGGTTCCTATTTTCTACGTTTATTTTAAAGCGTTTTCTAAATGATACACCGAGGAATACTTTCAAAAAACGTTTTGGAACATTTTTAGCATGTCAGCTCGCTTCTTTTGAAAGTGATCTTTTTCCTACAGTATTCTACTGCAGATTACTTTTCAAAAGTGGTCTTCTGGTGGTCATTTTAGAAGTAATCTTACCAAAAAGTGTTCAGCGAAAAGCGGTTCCTAAAAAGAATAAACTCGAGAAGCCGTTGTGTGCAGCGGAAACTATCCATTATACTGTGAATCTAAGCGAAGCCAGTTTCCGCAATATATACGCATATATAGTGTTTTATTACAACGGTAGGACCCCATGTGATACAATCGAGCAATAAAGTAACAATTTATTAGATTTAAGGTATATTTAACTACATTGATCGGATTTTGACTATCACAGTTCAATCAATTCTGTAGGATTGTCTGAGTTGAAAATCTGTTTAACTTTTTCTGCGCGAAAATTCAACGATGGTCTGGTTTGCAGAGTGATCAGGGCACGTAATAAACCATTCCATTTAATTTCTGAATTTTATGTGCGACGAAAGACGGTTGCCTTTCTAGATGCATGCAAAATTTCTAAATCCTATTTTGTCGACCAAACGATTAATTAATGTTAAGTGAAATATGCTGACTAAATAGTCTGCTCAACTTAAACTTAATTAAGAAAAGTGTAGTGGAAACCAAAGACGAAAAAATGAAACTACTGTCCATCTCAAAATGTAAGGCAAGTCGTTTTTTTTAATAGCTCAATAACGAGAAAAGATAGAGAATTGCGGTTTTCAACAACGAAAGAGGACAGTTGACTTCATATTTTCAAAAGCGAACGTGACTTTTGGAAAAATGTCTAGATCCAATTTTTCAGACGATCTCTGGAAAGTCAGCTTATAGTTCAAAAATTTTACATAGAAATCTATCAGTTTTTCTCCATATATGGATAGTCTAAGGTGCCCTCTAAAAAACCAGATTCAAGTGACATCTCAAAAATCCATGGTTCGGGAGCTATGGGCGTTTTCCTTGAAGCCTTAGGGCTCCTCTGCTGTTACTTTTGGAACTGTCAGAAATGAATGAAAACATAGATTACTGACTATGCTGAATCTCGAGGCAATATTTGTTTTTCAAAACAGTTCCAAGAACCTAATGAAAACGTACATTAGGTGAAGTATCCCATTTGCCTTTGAGTAAAACTAAAAAATTCATAACTCAGTCAAGGTCAATCCAAGTTATGTCAGACTATCGAAATGTACTCTGTTTTACCACTTAAGAATTTTATCTTTTTCATAAAACGTGTCTGAATTTTCTGAAAAATCAATTCAACTTTTTTGGAAAATCGATTTGATTTTTCAGAAAATTAACGACGCTTTTAAACTTGAAAATCTCCGACAAATTCAAAATGAACAGACTAAAAAATCAGAAGTGGAATATATTTTTAAAGAAATTGAAAATCCAGAAAGATTTTTTCAACCGTTCAATGTCCTTCTCGTTTAAATTTTTTTTTGTTTTTTCTTTACATAGGGTCCAAAACAGATTTACTGTGGATAGTAAAACGATGCTTTAATACAGGTGAATGAATAAGGACTAATTAATTTTGTCCCTTCACTTTTCTATCAGAACAAAACACATACAGCAGGAGCATTTCTTAAAGATGGGTGAACAGACTAACGACATGTTTATAAGGCAGGAATATGTTCGCGAACATATTTGTCTGTTTCTTAATCTCATTCTGCTTTTGAACTAAGGGAAAGAACCATTCTGTACGTTTTTTAAAGAAAGTAAGCGCATATTAAGGGATTAGTCAGTTAAGCATTCTTTTTCCAATGAGCGAACATGTCATAATCAGAGTGCCCAAATCTCCTGATTTTCAGTTGTTTTTCTGTATCGATTTTGTTTTTTCAAAAACTGAGACTATCAGTTTCAGAAACAGAATTTCTGGCTCAAGAGTCTAAATAATTGTACATTAAAAGAGTTCGCTGGGTGCTTGTTGAATGTTCTCATCACAAGAAGATGAGATTAGTGAACTTCCAAATCCATCGGATCGAAATCTTCTTCCTCAACCCTTACTGCGGTCTGTAACAAATGATAATACTGTTTCATCAAAAAAATATTTAAAAACAACCTATGTTTTTGAAAAGTTATTCGATTTTTTTTGTTGTCCTAGAAAAAATTGTCTGATACTCTCTTGTTTTTTCCTTGATTTGCCTCTTGCTTTTTTAGCAATAATCTCCTGATCGACTACTAATTTTTTACGAAACACTCCTCATTTCGAAAAACTGAATTTGAGACGCTGGTCATAATGCGCTTATATTTTCGAAAGCACAAATCTAGACCAAATATAAAATATCAAGCACTATTAGCATCTAGCCACATGTATCAGCTTCAATTTAAGACCTTTTCGAACCCTCTGCGATGTTTCGTTACCGAGAAATCTTGCAGATACGAAATGGTGTTAAAATGAAAGTCGCTGTTCGAAATATGGCTGCGCCAGTATTTGATGCGTGGTTTAGAGTTCCCGAGAAAACTCTCATAACTAATGAATAGAACGTCATTCAGAGCTGGGAGATATCTCATTTTGATCAGAAATGGTTGTTCTATTTTTGGTGTCATTAAAAGAATTTTTGAATATATTTTTTTATCGAAAAGTAAATTTTTTTTCGACAAGTCAGTTTTTCAAAGTTTTCAGAAAACTTTTCTAAAAACCTCCATACCCCTTCGATGAGGACGAAATAATATTGGACCCTGATAGTAGATATTGTGGGCTAATTAATTAATTAATTTGTTAATTAATTTGTTATTTTCTAACCGTTTATCTGCATCAAATCGAGATGTAAAAAGATGAGATATTCGATTAATTTAGGAGTAAAATAATCGGCAGTTTATACAGTTAACAGTTACACATAATTAAGTATATTGCTTAGGTTCATGTTGACTCTATGCAGGTTCGCTGGTACGCTGTAATGAGCATTTTAAACTCTACTATAATCTAGGCTATAAACCCATTTTCACTTCATTTTAGAAAAACAAAATATAGTAGTGAGAAAATGCTTTAATTACAATTTTACATAATGATCGAATCACAGCATCCTAAACACATAACTTACAAAACGACTTTTAAAAAAAACTTTTAAACCTAAATATATTTAAAAACGGTTAAAGAATGTCATTCAACAAAACTGAATTATAAAAATGTCTGAATTATCTATGTATTACTCTAAATAGATGTATTTATCGCAGTATTTGTATTGGAAATTAGCAGGTGCAATTAAAGAAGCAAGTCTCCTCCTCTTGACTCATTATTGTTTCTGGCCAACAGGTATACCACCAGTGCAAAAATTATGCTAGCCGTGGTAGAAGAGTTCATGGCGGCCTTGCCTGTTGTTGCTGGCGCCATTGGCGTTGTAGTTTTACTATTTATGTTGCCCATGGTAGTTGCGGCTGGTTTAGTAGATGTCTCTGCAACAACATGTGTCTGTGCAACGATAAGTGTCTGTGTCACATCAGGTGCCGACTCACTGGTTAATTCTGAATATTCTTCAGTGCTTGCCTGTTGTACAGCAATCTTAGTGGTTGGCATGCCCATGGTTGTATCACCACTCATTGTTGTCGCAGCTGCTGAAGCACTGTTACACAGAGCTGTCGTACAGCATGTAACATCTTTATAGCCTGCTGTTGTTTTTAGTGCTGTACAGGCCTTCTTACCCGTGATAGCCGAATAGGATTTCCAAGTACCTGCCTGTACTTCCGCAGCTGAACACATGGAATTCCCCGAAGCACACTGACGTTGATAGACGGCGCAGGTACACTGTTGTGGAGCACAAGCTTTTGTCGCATCTACTGATGCTTGCTTGACCTGTATGACACCCTCTGCATTTTGAGTTGTATTGTAACATTTTAGCGCACCAGAAGATAGATGAAGGGATGCCAAAACGACAATAAGAATTATCATATTAACCATAACTACTAACAAACAGAAAACGTATGGTTACTTAAGTTCTTAAGTTTTCGAGAGTTTCTATAAAAAGAGAAACCCATTTTGCTTTTTTCTCAAAATAATATTTTCACAACAATCGTCAACATCGCTGAAAAAATTTCTCCGTCAAATTAGATGATGGAAAGCTCGGGTTGGTTTGAAATTCAAGTTAAAACTTAGAGTAACGACGTGATAGAGCGCCATTTTCGATTGAAACTTTTCTTTCTTCCGAATTTAGGTTTTTGTGCAAAAGATTTTCAAGAAATTGTAACATTTTGACTTTTACTGCTTCCAAAAACTTTTTGAAGAAAAATATAACAAATCCGGCTCTATGACGGCATTACCATGATCTTTATCTGTAACTTAAAAGCAAATCGAACTGTACATCATTTAATGTGATGGAGAAATCTTTTTAACGTTAAATTTCCAGATTGATCGATATATGAGCAACATCTCGCAAACGCTGGTAGGTAAACTGTAGACAACTTTATCGCACACGTACCTCGATAAATCCAACACGTAGTAAGTCCTCAACTAAGTCTGGGACAGCATATAGAACCAGAATCAACAAAGCGCTCCAAGAAACGAGAAGTCGATTTTTTGGGTAGAGAAGTGACGAATGAATTGTATATTTTCGAACGAATGTACCGCAATTACTCAGAAATGATCTAGCAAACCAGTCATCGAAAAAAATTATCGACACATTATTAATCGATCATGGCAAGGTTTACAGACAGAAGTTGGAAGTTTTCATATGACTTTGGAAAAGAATGCGCAACAAAGGGCTTCCTTTTGAACGAAAAGATGCTTGACATTAACGGAGTTTGCGGTTCCTTACATGACCAAGTATGGGTAGTAGAGCTTGCTGAAACTGACAAAAATGGTAAAACCGACTAAAAATCGAAAGTTTTCAGCTGCGATGCTCTGATCAGAGTTCTATGAGACGGAGTCATCTCATTGATTGTTTTAGATAAAAGTGGAATCAAGCTGTTTCCGTGAGAATGAAATACCCATCGGAACTTTTTTAATTAATTCGAACTGGTTTAAAATCGAAATAAATCAATTTTTAATTGCAAAAAAATTAATTTGAATAAATTTAACATGAGACTCTTTTAAATTAGTTCGAATTAATTAAAAAAGTTCCAATCGATACGGAAATAATATATTTGTAATATACCAGACATACAACAAGATAGTACAAACTTCATACACACAATCTAACGCAACAATAGTGTCGCGCTAACTTTCCATCACCGATCAGAAAACCTCAGTTAACCGAAAGACCTCAGTATCGTACCATGACGACATGATGTCACTATCTAATTCAAAACAGACTGGTTTATTCTTGACTATAAATGGAAAAGAGAATGAGACCTCTAGATTTTGCCATAAAATAACCTGGAACAGAGTACGTTTTTTTCATAAGTAAACTAATTCTTAAAATCGGTTCTTAAAAGAGGCTGTAGAAAAAATCTTTAGAAGAAAATAGAGTCGGAATATAGCGGGCAATAGCCCAATAGCATTTGAGCCTTGGTTCAATAAGATTTTGAACTTTGTGTTTTCCCCATCTGGAAATTTAAAAAAAGGATTTTTGACCTAGCCTTTTCTTGAATGATCATAGCGTGATTCTGTCGTTTTTTTCGAACTAATGAGGTTGGTCGAACTAAATGGTTTCGAAACAATGGTGAAAAAATTCTACTTACGCCACTGAAACTAAGCAGTTTAGGAAGAATAAATCAACTCAATTCATCATTATCATCTATGCAGCTTAGATAAATTTGCAAACATGTCAGCTCTTAGACTAATATCCTAGTGAATGATCAGATGACCTGGTCTTGGATATCAGTGTACTGATCAGACAATTAGTGATCAGATTATCTGATCGTTCCCTAGAGGATCTATCGAAGGTACACAATCGTATCTCGCCAATTACATGTCAAAAAATCATGTTACTCCGATGATTTTCTGAACAACTTGAAACATAAAAGACATTCACTTATTTTATGAGCTATTTAAATAATTAGATGAAATACATACTTAAGTTTTGTGAGATGCAAAAAGTTGGGAAAATAAAAACCTTGCTGTAAGTACGATTATAGTAGTGTAACTGATTATATAAATACGCGTGTTGGTATTGTAGGTATATATGATATTTTCTTAGCGATGATAATCACTCGATTTGATGCATCAATGATTTTTTATCTTTTCATGACGCAAATATAATGCAGGTGTCAATAAGAGCGATGATGCAACATGATTCTCCGTAAACATCATAATAAGAATATTTCTAGGAAAATGTACGGTTTTTTTTAGCATTTCGTGTCAACGAACGTTGCGAACATATCAGACTGGGCGAAGTCAGAAAATATTTTGATCATATTCAATTTCTTAAATATTTTTTATAATGTCACATTGTAAATAAAGAGATTCATTTTCTATAAAAAAAAAGATAGTACCGCAGGTGCCTCAAGAGTCAGTTTCGGGCAGATGAATCCGTGACTATGACAAATTTAAAGTTCAAATAAGTCTTTTAGTTGAACATCAAATTAATATGAAAATCTGATAATATGCTTTCTAATAGACCTTTCCGTAAAATGTTATAGAAACAATAAATTTCGACTGAAAACACCCCAAAAATATGTTGATTTTCGGAAAAAAATTAATTATCAACAATCCTTTGATCATTAAAGGAGCTTTTGGTATGAATAGATAGCAAAGATCGCGGACTCGAAGAATACCAGTATTGGAGATCTCCCTGGCTTGATTCGACAATAATAGAGGAACGCTTGACTCAAGTTAAAGATGTAAACTTTTCTCCCGATATCAACAGTGAAAATTGAAAGCGAACATATGGCTAGAATCAGCAGGCTTATCCTATCAGAAACTGTCTTAAAAATCGCACAGAAATATAAGACACTTAAAATATTTTCGATTGTTATTGATTTTCAGCCTATCATGATCAGCCATTATCACAACTAATATGCATTTTGATTCAAAATATGTAGCAGATTCGTGGTCTAAATGGAACAACGTATTTTCCAAAATCGGCTGAGTGATTTGTAGTTTAAAAAATGTTTGTATAAGCTTATAGGTGCAACGTGACGCGATACAAAATAGTTCGTCATATTCATTTTTCTATTTCTTTGTCTCGTTGTGAAGCGTGCAAGTACGTATATGAGAAGAACAGCATAGCCAATAAGTTTTATGTAAACATATACTCCGCAATACAATTTTTAAGTGCCCCCTCACGCCCCTACCCCAACGAAAAAAACTTTTTTATTTCACATCTGATTTTTTGACAGTGCTTACAATGATTAATGCTTACTGCCCACCTTACCAATATTAAAAATTTGAGCTCGAAATGTTGATACTCCCTAAACTCGAAGGAGTATTTTCCACTCGACTTAAATTTAATTATATTTAGTAATTTTACAACCGCCTTCTTAGTTACTAGAGACTCAGACAGAATTCATTTCTGAAAGAAT